ACGCATGTAAGCACATACACACAACACACGCGCACACATGCATGCACGCACGCACACACACACACACCTTGTTGCAGGCGTCGTCGGCTGCTTCTCTGCACCGCCGTCTTTGCTGAGGCGGCGCAGCGCCGAGTGTGTGAGCGTCGTCGTCGTCTCATCCGCCTCGCTGGCGATGCTTGATGCTGACGAGTCGTGCCTACCGCGAGACCGCGTCACCACGCGAGACGTCTCACCCATCTCGCTGACGATGCTTGATGCCGACGAGTCGTGCCTACCGCGAGACCGCGTCACCACGCGAGACGTCTCACCCGCCTCGCTGACGATGCTTGATGCTGACGAGTCGTGCCTACCTCGAGACCGCGTCACCACGCGAGACGTCTCACCCGCCTCGCTGACGATGCTTGATGCTGACGAGTCGTGCCTACCTCGAGACCGCGTCACCATGCGAGACGTCTCACCCGCCTCGCTGATGATGCTTGATGCCGACGAGTCGTGCTTGCGGCGCGAACGCGTCGCCATGGCGACCGACAGGCCGAGTTCGCTGGCGGCGCTCGAGTCGAGGCTTATGCGCTGCATGGCAGAGCGCATGAGGGGAGGAGAGAAGATGAAGGAGAAAGCGTCCACTTCATTGGCGGTGAAGGTCGTTACTGCAGTGAGAAACGAACGATGTGTGTGTGTGTGTGTGTGCAGGGCACAAGTGCATGTGTTCTTGTGTGTGCGTGTGCGCACGTGTGTGTATGTTGTGTGTGCGTTTGTGCATGCACTCGTGTTCACAGGGTAGGGACAAACAATATACTCTCCTAGTTTGTCAACTAGTCACAATTGTCACTGAAAACTAATATGTCCACATCATTACGACGCAGTTGGTAGTACTACTGATAATGTTTGGTAGAATCAAGGTAAGATCAGGAGTAAGGCAGTGAAATCACATCGAATACCTTCTTTCTTTGTCTAATGTTGCTTACCTGCTGTCACTGTTAGTGGCTTAGCAAACGTGTAAATCGATTCTACAAAATAAATATCGAGATAAATCGATTAGCAAAGCAAAATAAAGGGTTTAGAAAGCAACATATGTTAACATCACAGCAAGCATGATTAATTGGTAAACATGTGGGAAGAATGTGGAATATCTAATGTGATGAAGTGATTCATATTGATCAGTACATCAGTTTTCCACAATTCCTCTGCTGGTTACTGGAACGTGTATTATTATTACTTTGAAAAGGGAAATTAAAGCCAAGTGTTTACTGTTAACGACTCTTATTATTATTATTTTGGGTTATCATGGAAGTTTTTTTTAGCCATTTCGTATGGCAAGTATGCGCCATAAACGATGTATACTGTGACACATTACTGAGCGTGATGCGATACCTTCTTCCTTTGCGCTCTTTGATCTCGTTGATCGCAAAGTTTGGGCGACCACAGGTGTCTGCACACTAAACTTCTCCTGTTTCTCTTCCTGCAAGGTGACTTCTTCTCCTTCTGCTTGAACAATACAGAATGTGCAAGTAGTACAATAGCTTTTTTATGGCTGCTTTCCAGCAGAAATCGCCTCAAAATCGCATCGCTCGCATGATACACTTCTTCCCATTTAAATCTTCTTCTTCTCCTTCTTTTGCTGGGAGGAGCACCAAACTGTTTGTGGAGGCTTTAATGATATTTCACTATAGAAAGAACGTCCAACTCGTACAGTACTTTACATCCCTGCAGGGTATTATCACTCTGATAGGAAGTCCCGATATTTGCAAGACTTGAGATTTATCGTATTTTGGAAGGTATGCCCAACTCTATGTGTAAAGACATGCATTCCCGCAGAGTACTATTGTACTCTGGGAGTAGCAGCCAACTCTGTGTGCAGAGACGTGTGTCCCAACACAGCATTATCATACTCTAGTATATCAGAATATGATTAGTTATATATATATATATATATATATATATATATATATAGTATCTGGAGGAGAGATACATATATATGAGATCTGGGAGGAGTACCCTACTACGTGCAGAGAGGTTCTGAAGAGCAATATCGTACTATGAAGGGCATGGCTGCAGCACAGCAACGTGGCTCCTACCTTTCATCTCCAAATCCTGTGACGCGATGAGCGAGACGTCCGGCGTCACCTGCGTCACCGTGTCATCACTGTCCCGTCGCTGCGGCTGCTGCTTGTCATCTCTCGGGCTGGACGTCAACGCTTCCTGAATCGCATGTCTCGGCTCCGGTGTCTGTCTCGTCGTAGGTGACATGTCTGTTAGAGTCTGCACAGTTGGTAACAAGTGTGTCGATGGCTGCATTGTCGGTGACAAGTGTGTCGATGTCTGCATTGCCGGTGACAAGTGTGTCGATGTCTGCATTGCCGGTGACAAGTGTGTCGATGTTTGCATTGTCGGTGACAAGTGTGGCGATGTTTGCATTGCCGGTGACAAGTATGGCGATGTTTGCATTGTCGGTGACAAGTGTGGCGATGTTTGCACTGTCAGCGACAAGTGTGTCGACATCTGTATCACTGGTAACAAATGTGTCGTTGTCTGCATTGTTGGTGATAGAGGGAATGATGTCTGCATCGTTGGTGATGAAGGTGCGTGCATGTGTGCTTTGGCGGACACTGGAGGTGACGGTGTATGTGCCGTGAGAGAGGATGAGGCTACTGCAACCTGTAATGTGGGGGAGTCAGAGTGCGATAAAACTGCTACTGTAGGTAAAGAATCTGCCAGTGCCTGCGACCTAGGGGACCACGAGTGCGGCGTCCGGGTTGTTGGTGATGGTGAGAGTGATGCAGTCATTGCTGCAGACACTGTCGGACTTGGTGTTTGTCCTAGTGTTTGCATTGCGGGAGGTGTGGAGCTTGGTGGTGTCACATCTGCAGCTCCAACCTCTAGCCAGGACTGCAGTAAAGAAACATGCTATCAGCATCGCTCTAATGATGGCGACACCCAATGAATCCTCAACTCACAATAATTTATAAATTAAAAAAAATTATAATAAATAATATATATAAAATAAAAATATGATATGTATATATATATAATAAAATAAATTTACAATAGCACTTGACAACTATCGTTTGACGATGTCACCACACGGTCGTATAAAACCAACCAAATGCCCTCGATTTCTGAGCACATTTACCTCGTGGGTAACGACCTCTGCCTGCTGCTCTGCTCCTGCATCATTAACGTGAGGAATCTCTGCGCTCTCACGCCGTTCCATCACCTCTTCACCGTCGCTTCGAAACACAGAAACGTTTGCGTGCACGTTCACGTCATCATCACGACGAAACGCAGGCTCGTCTGCTTGCAGTTCTTCTCCCTCCTCCTCGCTGTCATGATGAGACTTCATCTCGCCTGCCCGTCGCTCCACCACAGCCTCTTCCGCACCGGCGCCACCCTCTAGATCGCTGTACTGCATCACCTCTGCGTGACCTTCGCGCCGCGAGATATAAGGAGACTGATCGCACGCGGCGGCGACGCCCGGCGACGCGTCCTCTAACTCCGGCCGAATCGCGCGCCTCACGAGCGGCGACCGCTTGATGACGGGCGATGCGCGGATAAAAGACGACGACGACGACTCCGCGGGGGCGCCACCGGTCGTGGGCGTCAGCGTCGGGGATCCGGCGACGGCGCTCGCAGTCTCGCCGATGCTGGCGCGGGCGAGGGGCGACACTCCCAGAAGGGGCTTCCCCGCGAGGAAGCGCGAATGCGGGCTGGATAGGTGCCTGAGCAGCGAGAGCGGCGTGGACACGCGGGTGCGGTCGTCCGGCGAGGGTTGTCCAGCCGGGCTGCCGATGATGGGAACGGTGTCGATGCTGTCGCTCGACTTCGCCGTATCGTTCATCGACGCTGCTGAAACGATTGTCCGACAGTTTGTTAGAATTCGTACGCACAAAAAATATGATGTAAATGATTGGAAGTGGAGTCAGTATTCACGAATCCTGGCAACTAGTGTTATATGCAAATACACGTGAAAATTCACAACTTTTTGTTGCCTTTGCAATTGAATGCATGCAATGTTTGAGATGGGCACCACAAACGACACATGCACGTGTGCGTGCACACACACGCACACGCTTGACTATTCTCACCAACAGCACACACCCTTGATCATGAGCATGCATGCACACACACACACTTGACTACCCCCTACTCCTCACACACACTATTACAATATTGTAAAAAAAAACTTGTAATAATATGTAAGCGCGTATGCAATGCAATCACCTATTCTGCCAGTAGATCTCCCAAGACTCACGAACGTGATATCCTCGTCCACGACAACGCTATGTTGTGGCGTATGGAATGACTCATCGTCCATCTCCATCTCTTCCTCCTGCACCTCCTCCTCCTCCTCCTGCTCCTCATCCTCCTCATTAGCCTTCTCGCCAACAAAGCCCTCCTCCATAGAGGATGAATTCCCGCGCCGTTCGCCGCTCTGGTCCTCCACCGACCCCTCGATCTCTGGAGTCTCGTCGCCATAATCCTCCAAAGTGTCCATGTCTTCAGCGACCGTCGGAGGCGCCACCTGGTGATGCTCCACACCCGAGATGTCAATGCTCGCGTCGCCGGCGCTGTCGCTGTCCGTCGCCGTCGTCGCGGCGACGCTGTCTGTTGACGTCTTCGTCGTCACGGCAACGCTGTGCGGCGTCAGGGAGAATCGTGGCGTGCGCTTCGGCGTCGGAACGCGCGAACGGATCATGATCGACGTGAGGCTGGCACGCCGCGAAGCCCTGCAAACACAAGAGGCCGCGTCCGACGACGAGCGAGGATGAGCGTGCAAACGGCGTGCGTCTACACAGATGTTCTACCAGGGGCCGGTTTCACGAAGCGTAATTATGTGATTAGTTAAATATGTAATTAAATCACCTCGTGAAACAGATTTTTAAGTATGATTAACTAATCATAATTACGCGAGGTTAATCATGATTAGTGATTTAACTATAATTAAAGTTAATCACGCTTCGTGAAACCGGCCCCAGGTTTAGAACATGTAAACTATGTGTAACATACTAACTACACATGTGCACTGCTTTAAGTTCATGAAAATTCTCCTATAGATTAACGTACGTGATAGATGCAACACAGGAATGATTGCAAAGAGAAACAATGTGACTATTACTCGATGATGGGGGCTACGGCCACGTTCTGGTAGGTTCCCAACGAATTTTGCATTGGTTCCTGCCTTTCACTATTAATAACACTTTGCCCATAATGTAAAATAAGGTGGACATGGTTGCGGTAGGTGCATTGAACCATGCATATGCAGGAACATGCATGTACACGCATGCACACAAGCCTGCACACACCTACGCGAAGGCCACAAGCAACTCTACGTACCCATCTTCCTCAGAAGGAATCAGTGAGATATCATTATCTGGCAAGACGAATCTCAGCTGCTTAGAAGAGGAACCAGCTGCAGACGATGTCTTCTGAGCACTCTCATCCAAGGATTCTATATATAACACACAGGGTGCACTTGTTAAACAGATGCAATCATTAAGCATCATTACCGGTTCATTACTAAGTTCAATGCAATGTATGCCAAACTGGTACAATCAGTTTAATTGAAACAAATTTTAGTTGATATGGAACACAGTTTGCACACAAGCAACTCAACAAGAAGCAATTCCTAGATGTGTTATTTCAATATCAACTTGTAACAATTAATCTTACTCCTACTCATGGAAGATTTTCGGTGCCAATGAGCTCTCAACCCAGCGACGATCGAAGCTAAGACGAGACGTGAGCACATCTATAGGCTTCAATGCTCGGTGGGTGACTAACCTCGCAGCGGCTTGGCTCGCGCGCGCGTCAGCGTGGGGCTCGGGGAGAGTGCGATCGCCTCGCGCACCTTCAGGATGCTCTGGGGCGTCGCGTCGCGATGCTGAGATGCCGTCCGCGCCCGCTGCCTGACGACAGGAGGCGTTTGCAGCAGTGGCAGCGTGCTCCGCATCAGCCTCCTACAGGTCATCATCGATTACATGGTTACTGACCCTCAACGACGATTTTAAAACTGACGAAAGGCTATCGTAAATGTTCGTATGTGCGTACCATGTTCCAAGCGCTAACATCGCACAAATATATTATACGCAGATGATTCGAGTCACTCGGAGCAAAAACGTCAAAGAATTCCTAGATCACTAATCGTGAAACGTCACAGTACGTCACAGTAACAAGATGCCGTGCAGTTTACTAGTCCTCACTGAGAGGACCACTCATACTTACTCTTTGATCTTGCTCAGCTCGGCCCGCTGCTGTGGACTTATGGCTCGTGACACGAACATGTCCGCTGACAACTCGGGTGCCTTGTAGAATCGCAGCGTGTGATCAACGTGAGCTTCACCATCCGAGACACGGCTGCAGTTAAAACGTTACGAGTCAAACATCGCGTAAAGAATACTGACAAACAGGGCCAGCACGTAATGCCAGCAGAATAACACTGCAAAATCATTGCCCATGCAGACCAATCTTACCGTGATTTGTTCGCACGAGATTTGAAATTACAGTACGGGGAAGAAATATTCTCGACAATATTCGACTATCATCTATTCTTGGCATTGTCAGCCTGGCCCAAAATCAATTTCTACTACCTATCTACACTGTATATTATCGGTTATTTTTTGGTACGTATTAGTGGCAAAGAATCATCCTAGTATTAGGCTAGAGCCGACATGGATTGCCATGAAAATTCACATCTAATCTGACAGCTCTCACCGTATCCTAGAGGCGTGCCTACGTGGCGTAATTGGCGTGCTTAGGAATGGCACGTGTGAGTCCACTTCCGGCCAATCACTGAAGGAAATAAATTATCATGATTTCAGTGAAGGTCATAAATTATCACAAAGCCAAATGTAATGGTGCAATACACAACCCACCAGCTGGAGTGGTTACATTCAAACTGACTGAATGATAGCAGATAGATAAAATGTGACACATTATAATTAGCTGAGGAAACAGGAGAGGGGGGATAGAGAGGGAAAGAGATGAGAAATAGGAGAGAGAGAAAGGAGAGACAGAGAGAAAGGGAAAAAGAAAGCGAAAGAGAGAGAGAGAAAGAAAGAGAAACCCTAAGATATAGAGACACTTACTCAGACGATTCTTTGGGTTTTAGTTCCCCAACCTTTTCTAGCATGGTCTCAAACAGGGTCGCCAGCGTCATTGTCTTCATCTTAGACTGCGTTACGACAGTCGACAGTGGTTTCGGACGTGCAACTAAAACAAGTAATGACAGGATGATATGAGCATGTGCCAAAGAGGAAACACAGACATACCCACCAGTCCTTGTGTTTTGAAAAAGGCAGGCGAGTGAAAAATCACACGCCTTGGCTTGCCGAGGAGTGTGATTTGCATCCGAGTGCCCGCAGGTCACGAGGCAAACTAGGGGGGTTCGGGAGCATGCCCCACCCCGAAAAAATCTAGACTTCATGAAATGCCATTTCCAGCATTTTGGGATAAAAGCTCTGCATTTGTACTCTTAATTTGGACATTTTTTGGGTGATTTTTTTTCCCATCTAACAAAATATCAGTTCTTGAACATATTGATGGATAACTTGAATCACACATTTAGCATGTTTAGTCAAAAAGGAACAACACTCAATTTTTCAAAGCAGACTAGCATACTTTAATAGTATTTGCAACATCATAATCATTCAGTCACTTGTTTGCATTTTTGTCAATTTGAGGTATTTCAGTTTCATTTCAAGAAAACATACATGTTTTGCAATAAAACTTCACTAAAAACCTTAATCAGGCTTTTTAATTTTCATTGTCAGCTGCATCTTCATCACCAGTCTGGATCTGCTGTAGCAATTGAATACAGTAACAGTCATATTCATCATGTATGGCTCGCGTATGATAGGCCGGACGGTTTTGGTTTTGGTTTTGGTTTTGGTTTTGGGTGGGTTCGGGTGCAAAGCAGTCAACGCAGGCAGTAGGCTTTGTGAGTTACGACGGTCGAGTGGTGTGTATACGGTTCAGTGTGTAACGGAAGAATACCAGAGTCAACGATACGGCAAGCTTTCGTCGGTGATAAATAAATGATGAGTGGATGAATTGATGTTAAAGACTGCTGTTGGTATAAGCGTTACAACTGTCGTTATAAACATGTGAACCGACTTCCGGCAATGTCCGTGATGTTTACAACCGTTTGCGTTTATCTTCGAGTTTATAAGTTGGATTAATGAAAAACAAAACACGAAAAGAGGTGTGCGTTTTGATAATGCTTAGATGCGCGTTTTTTCGCACTTCTCCTGATCAATCGAGGCGCGCGATGGCGCGCGAGCGCGATCGCGCACCTTAAAACACAAGGACATACCCACTACAGCACAGTATTCTGCCTGCTTACATGTAACAACTGTAACTGCCAACATACAAGCAGTGCTGACCCCCCAACCCCCTGTCATACTGGCACATGCTTTTTTGTATACATTTGATGGGAATTTCAATCGACATCAGCATTGGTAACCTAATGTATATCCAAGCACACAGAGGACGTTTTAAATAATGACAAATGTGAATAATATATAGATCTACATCTACGTCTGCGTCTATGTCTACCCAACTGTTTGACTGTTTGTATTTCTGCCCGCCTGGCTGTATATCGATCTATCTATATCTGGTTTTTGCTCTGTAGCAAACTCTGTCAGTTCTCTGGTAGCAAATGCACCAAATTTGGCAATCTTACATCGTTTTGTGTACGTCGGTCTGACGGAGTAGGCATCAGGGTGCAGGGCCAATTTACGCTGCACATCGGGCAGTGTCTTCATGTACATGTCTACTATCAAATTCCTAGTCGCCACCCGTTCTCTCACAGCTCGGTCCATCGATACCTGATTGACACAACATGCAGATTAATACACAGGTTCATAGATATACAAGTACAATGGTCTGACCTACAGAAAAATATTACTTAATGTACAATGACTCAAACATTAAGAAATCTGCACCCAGAAAATTCTGGGACCAAACTTACTGCAGGATAAAGATATTGCCCTGGTCACATCGCATTTAACTACTTTTAAGTATATATTATATGGTGTGTGTATATATATATATATATATATATATATATATATATATATATATATATATGTACACGCTGCTTCTCTGCTTAGCACTCAGCAAAAAAAGATAGAGTGTGGAAAAGTATTGCTGTGTAGGTCCGGCTTTAAAAATAGGCCTAACGTATCTTCGTGCGTGTCATAGAAGGCGACTAAAAGGAGTTGGCGTCAGGAAGGGCATCCAGCTGTAAAACTTCTGCTCCAAAACCATTCCATAAAGGAATAAAACTGTCCAACCCCGAAAGGGAAAACTGACATTAAACTGATGATGATGATAATCTATATATATATATATTATGTGTGTGTGCGTGCGTGCTTGCGTGCGTGCTTGCGTGCGTGCTGCGTTATTTAGCATTATTTGACTAGTGTCGCACTACGCGACAAGCCGTGGCGTGGGCCGTCACCATTGTGAGACGCTTGAGGCTCTCGTTCAGCTGCAGGGCCTCGATGTAGCGTGCTCTCTGTAGCAGGTACATGACGAGCAGCTCGCCGGACGCAACCTCGTCCATGCGCTTCTTCAGAAATGTGACCAGGTACTGCTCCTCCAGAGAATCCAGGGGAAGCTGCAGCAGCTGATAGACGCACTTTGCTGCGAAAGAGTTAGAAGGCGGTTACACTTGGAGCAATGTCCTGTGTGTGTGCGTGTGTGCATGTGGGTGCATGTCCGTGTGTGCGTGCGTGTGTGCGTGTGCGTGCGTGAGTGCATGTCTGTATGTGTGTGCATGTGATTGTGTGCTGAATTTTGCAGGGAGAACACGTTTATTTCTAGGTAAATGGTTTTATGTATCATTATTTTATGTGAATGGTGTTATGTTTTATTAATGTCTAGAAACTTGATCGGAAGAAGGAAATATACTTACATATGCAGAAATCTGTAACAATCACCTTAATAAATAAGATCACATTTATTGCCAAATAGATTGCTTACGAAGCCACAATCTGTATTCATGGATAGCAATAAATTTTCATACAAAGACGCTGAAGAGGTGACACCACCTTTCAGTGTGAATTTTGGTGAAGCAGTGACATTGCTTTGCCAACATAGCAACTATCTACACTTGCGCAGATGGGATTGAAAGAAACAGCTGGGCAAATGTACCGAATTCGTTTTTTCATCTTCACAAAAACACCAGAATTATTCACTCACTCTTCATACACGCAGTGAAGAAGTGTCTAAACAGGACCTCACTGTTTGCAGCAAATGCATGTTCTCTCTGGAAGCTGTGTGCCTCTGCTATCAACCTATGAGAACAAACAGGAAGCCTCACAATGTATAAAGCTGCCCGCCTGTTTACCAAGCCGTGTTGTTCTAATGTTGAGTAATTTCAAGTGAACGACAACAGAATTTGTAATGTAATTACAACTCAGAATAGTTGTAACACACGCTTTCGCTGCATGGAACAAGTTAAATGCTTCCCAGTTAAATCCTGTGAATGAAAAATCTCACATGAATCTAACGATGCCACTACTCTGCTAAGCGTAAACTAACGACACACTCGCATAGTTGCGGAAAGGAGAGGTTGCTCACCCATTCTCCACCAGCACAGATATCTTTAGACTGACGTCATTCACATCGTTGCTCACGGGTTGCATGATGCGCATGTAGCGAAGTGCCAGACTAGACTCCCCCTCGTGCAGCAACGTCTTCATGATCAGAGCATGTTGCCATGGATACGCGACGGCGTGGTTTACCATGGGATGCAGAAACAGGTTTACAGCATCCTGCAGTGAATCGAAATGTTTGTGTGATGAGGAAAGCATCAGACCACAATGCAACATTGGCCATCATCTTTAAGCCAAAGTATGTTAATTAGTTACATTCATATTAGTAATGTCAATCAAAAAATAAATTGGTCAAAAACATGAATGTGCCCAGATATCCTATTATTAATGTAATAAAAATCCTCACTGTACAGAAATAATGATAACAAACTTATAACAAACCATCCTATCAAATTCGCAGAATTAAATTGAGGGAGCAATAATAAAGGTACAAAAGGTATACGTAAACGTCGATGGTGAGATTCAATCACACCACTGCAACGAACATAAAGAAACAGCCTCAATCCTGAACGCGTTACACGCCCGACCCCCCACATCCCCCATACCAGCCACCAGGCCAGGCTAGGCCTGTCATGCCAATATCTGTAGCACAGGTGTCATGTGTGGTGTAGTAGCGAGTGACTGACCTCTAGATCGCCATGGTCAAACAGCCAGAAGGCCTGCATCAGCTTGAGCTTGCCCTCCGGAAGACGAAACGCTGACCAGAAACTTCGAAGCTCGTCAACAACCTGTAACGATGCCAATCGTTAGCTAATGACTAACCAATAACCCGTGAATAATCGGGATCAGCCAGGAAACAATGCGCAAGGTGCATCATTATCATCACTAGATGCCTGTCAAGACATTTACAACACCGAGGTTCACCAGAAACAGGCATGGTGCACAGTATTTGAAAAAGTCTTCAAAGAGGCAAGATAGATGCACAGAGATTTAATTACTTCAAACCAGTTTGTGCTCGCAGCATGCTGCCAGATAGGCGAGATTTGATGTACGTACATTTACTGCGTTTCCACATAAACACGAGACAGACTCACATTGATTAGCCGCTGCTCAGCACAGATTGACATGAGGTCTATGAGAAGGTAGAGCACGAGGCAGTGTTTCTTCTCCAGAGGCACATCATCGAGTAGGTAGACATTCAATAACTCCTGCACAAACACACACACACACACACACACGTATATATATATATATATATATATACGAAGATATATGCTAATGCTAAATCAAATGAATCGTGTTGTGTGCTTACTTCCTGCTTACTTTCTGGCCTAAAATGACAGATTTTAACATTCTACCAACAGTAACACTGATTCCGTCTGTCGAGTTGCATACGTACACACAACCACGTTAAGGAAACTGACGTTACTGCAAGCTCTAATAATATTAGCTGCCACATATGATTAAACACCAGTCTGCACAGCTTTACGGATCCTGCGCAGGTACCTTATATTAATACTGCATCTTGTTGAGATTAGTCACTCACGTGTAGGCTAGGTGGTGGGTAAAGGCCATTACCATCAGCCTTCCCCACAGCTGCGTGATACAGTCACCGCTACTAGCAATAAGACCATCAATCAGCAATACGTCCATCTCCCTCGAACCGCTCCTGTGAAACACCAACACATTCTTTTCTCATTAACCACTAATTGTCTAGTTAATGAAGGCTTACACACCAAGTATGTAGCTGTGGTCACAAACGGTACATTTCTCACACTATAACTTCTTAATGACACTGCTGTTTGAGGCCTAATACTACCACCAAAGCACACCTCACTACCAGTGTGCGCTCAAGCCTCAGATTACTATAGAATGCTTCCCACACCAACAGGACACCACGCAGACCCTGTCAGCTGGCTGGTGACATCTTCCATCTGGTATAGGAGCCAAACGTAGACAAGCATTCCACAGGAGATCGCGCAATGACAACATGCACACCGATTCATGTCGTTCACTTAAAATTCATCGGACGATCACTGAACGTTCAAAAATTTGAATGTTTGATCTCTTTGCTTCTAGCTATGAAACCCAAGCTACACTATCACCGAGGCAGACTGGGCAAGGGAGAGCATAGTCTGTACTTACCTCTCACGCATTTCCCGTCTTCTTGCAGTGGTGATTCTAGAGAGTGCCTGCGCTGGATACGCCAGCAAGTCACCGTACAGCTGTTGACACTTCTGCTCAAAGCAAAAATAAGTCAGTGCAAACATGTGACCGATTTGCGGATTGACAGAGTACCTGTGCAATGCACACAGACCATTCTTCAACAGGATTATAATCACTTACACATCTGCGCCTGATAACGAGAAAAAAGGCAATGGTCTGTATGTCTACACGGCACGAGACCTTAGCTGGCAGTGCTAAATATATGCCGTCGTCAGAACATTCCGAAGAGCCACAGACACCTGATCTGCATTGTGCTCACCTTCATTCTCCGGTAGCAGTTTTTTGTCAACGAACCAGATGACCACCTCTATATGCTGAGAGAGCAATGTGAGCACCTTCAGTCTAACATTTAGCTCTGTAGCACCTGTGCACGATAAAGTCATATATAAATAAATAATTAAATAAATAACAGTAAATATTAATGATAAAAAAAATAACTAATTGAATATATGTGAGATGACCCAGTGATAGCTTAAATTAGTTTACAATCTCGCACAAACTGAAAACAATCGTCATCACGACAGTGATATTAAAATCTAAAGTAACCTCTATGTAATGAAACCGCACCACGGCTATGTGTTCGAGGCTTAATACTGCCAACAAAGCGCACCTCATGACCAGTGGCCCTGTAACCTCAGATTACTATAGAATGCTTCCCACACCGACAGGACACCACACAGATCCTGTCAGCTGGCTGGTGTCCTCTTCCATCTGGTATAGGAGCCAAACGAGGACAGCATTCGAAGGACCACAACTCTAAGAAGATTCGTTACGTGGAGTATTTATGACAGCGGCGACTACGGCAGTGTTACCTTGTGTCGTCATGAAGGTGTGACTGTCAAGCACCATGCGGTAGAGGTTTATCAAATGCTGCAGTCTGGACGAATGCTGGTAAAGACTGCGCACGGCCGGATCATCCAGCTGCACCCCTGACCAGTTGTAGAGCGGTACCACTGTGCCCGGAAAAAAATACGCCCGGCATCGCCACGATTATTACTTATTATTACGGAAGTCATATCCGATCACCTCTAGAAGCAAACGCAGGGTTTAATTTGGGGGTTAATTGGATCCGACTTTCCATCTGATTTGCCATGGAGGTTAAAATCCACAATTTGAATGCAGATATTTACTTTATTTTCACAAACAGGCATATGAACTAAGGTAGGATATACCGATTATCCTTACTATATCCTATTACTATCTCTGGCCAAGCCGGCCTCCAACGGTAACACCCACAGTCCTTTCATGTCCAGATAGCATTTTTGCACTCACTCATTCTTCAACCCATAGCATATGATGTTAATCTATCTAGTTAATTCTTCACTACACACCTAGTTTTTTTTAGCTAACCGCCCAGATAGACTGCATCTCACCAAATTCGCAACAGTGTACATACTCCGTTAAACACTTACCGAGTTTGTCGAAAGCTACCTTGGTCTCAACGACTTTACTCCACGCCCACTCAAATAAGAAGCGTAATGTGCATCCCGACTCAACACACTCTGCACAGAACAATCACAGACAGCAGATGGAATATCAATTTGTACATCTTTTCTTAGTCCCCCACGATGATGATGACAATAATAATAATAATAATAATAATAATCATCATAATCATAATCATAATAATATATACTAGATACCAACCATGCTAGATGACCTACAATCAGAGGAAAGCCTGTATTTATGCTCCCAGTCACCTGCATCAATTTATGATGCAATAGCTTTGCCTTTTTCACACCACAGGAAGATTAACCAAGACTCGTTCTAGTGCATTTATTTTGGTGTGCACTACAACAGGCAACACGCCTGACGCACTGCACCACTAACTCTCTGCCCGACCACTTACCGCCCTCAGACCATTCTCTGACGCATGCTGCTAGAAACTCTAGTCGATCATAATCCAGTACCACTGTCATTAACATCTCCCGCATGAAAGTCTGCAATTTCACGAGAGCACATGTAAGGAATTTCGAAAAAGCATTTACTTCACGACCATTCGTAAGTGATACTGACGTATAGAGGTAAATAAAAGTTAACAATATTAGCATTTTTCTCTTATCCGATAATATAGACAGTTAAGAAAATTCACATGTTGGGTATTCAGCTTGACTCTCATAATGTAGGTGTGACAAATGAAAAAATACAATTATTGACACTACTTTTTTCAATGTTTCATTAATTCATGCGTGCACACATTTATGTATGCATTCAGTCAGTTTATTTATTCATACATTAATTCAGTTATTCAAACATTTATTCATTCATTCTTTTTTCTCATTACTCATTACATTTACTGTGTCTATGGCCTTTAGAGCTAGTGTCACTATTTAAGCCTAGAATTAAATGATTATGAATGGTAGAACCATGGTACCATAGGACTAGAACTGGAGGCAGCCGCATGGTTTCTAGGGAGAAGGCCAGCGACCAGGCACCGGTCGTACATATCATGACAGTCTAATAGACACTCGGGTCCCCTGGTGACAAGATCTTGCAACACCTGCCGCTGCAGACCTAGGTAGCTGGCATGAACGGCACCCGAATCCATCAAGCAATGGAGATCTACATAGAAATATTGGTAAAGCTTACATAGCCAGTGCAAGTTTGTTAGATGCACTAATGGACAAATGTGTTACTCACCAGTCTACTGTTAAAATAATGATTTATTTGGTAAAAACTAATAAAAGTATTACTTGGTGATTACTTTACAAATCTTTCATTATGCACATATTTGACTTGACTGAGTTTGCAGACTTCAATTAGTGCTAAAGCTATTAAGAAAAAGTGATATGATTGTCATGAACCAGATGCTCCCTGTGCTGTATGTTGCAAGAAGTCGCTTACCAAATGACAGGGATGATGGAAAGCAATGCTGGTCTTGTGGTGCCACAGCAATAAACCTTGCCAGGCTGCTCGGTGGAATGTGTACATTCTATAATGATAAAAAACATCACCAGTTAAATGCAGATGAGATGAAATAAGATGAGCTGAGCTGCAAGCAATCCTTGTGATGGTAGGCAACTCCATGAATCTCAAATTATTTTACGGGCACGCTTTGACATTTGACGACATGGTATAGTAATAGTATGATGATGAAACACTGCAGCAGCATACTGTATAGAAAATCACAGTATAGAATGCGATGTGACAACCCCTCAGTTATTATTACATTCAATATATATATATATATATATATACGAAGATATATGCTAATGCTAAATCAAATGAATCGTGTTGTGTGCTTACTTCCTGCTTACTTTCTGGCCTAAAATGACAGATTTTAACATTCTACCAACAGTAACACTGATTCCGTCTGTCGAGTTGCATACGTACACACAACCACGTTAAGGAAACTGACGTTACTGCAAGCTCTAATAATATTAGCTGCACATATGATTAAACACCAGTCCTGCACAGCTTTACGGATCCTGCGCAGGTACCTTATATTAATACTGCATCTTGTTGAGATTAGTCACTCACGTGTAGGCTAGGTGGTGGGTAAAGGCCATTACCATCAGCCTTCCCCCACAGCTGCGTGATACAGTCACCCGTACTAGCAATAAGACCATCAATCAGCAATACGTCCATCTCCCTCGAACCGCTCCTGTGAAACACCAACACATTCTTTTCTCATCTAACCACTGATTGTCTAGTTAATGAAGGCTTACACACCAAGTATGTAGCTGTGGTCTACAAACGGTACATTTCTCCACCACTATAACTTCTTAATGACACTGCTGTTTGAGGCCTAATACTACCACCAAAGCACACCTCACTACCAGTGGCGCTCAAGCCTCAGATTACTATAGAATGCTTCCCACACCAACAGGACACCACGCAGACCCTGTCAGCTGGCTGGTGACATCTTCCATCTGGTATAGGAGCCAAACGTAGACGAGCATTCCACAGGAGATCGCGCAATGACAACATGCAACACCGATTCATGTCGTTCACTTAAAATTCATCGGACGATCACTGAACGTTCGAAAAATTTGAATGTTTGATCTCTTTGACTTCTAGCTATGAAACCCAAGCTACACTATCAACCGAGGCAGCTGGGCAAGGGAGAGCATAGTCTGTACTTACCTCTCACGCATTTCCCGTCTTCTTGCAGTGGTGATTCTAGAGAGTGCCTGCGCTGGATACGCCAGCAAGTCACCGTACAGCTGTTGACCTTCTGCTCAAAGCAAAAATAAGTCAGTGCAAACATGTGACCGATTTGCGGATTGACAGAGTACCTGTGCAATGCACACAGACCATTTCTTCAACAGGATTAATATCACTTACACATCTGCGCCTGATAACGAGAAAAAAGGGCAATGGTCTGTATGTCTACACGGCACGAGACCTTAGCTGGCAGTGCTAAAATATATGCCGTCGTCAGAACATTCACGACAGAGCCACCAGACACCTGTCTGCATTGTGCTCACCTTCATTCTCCGGTAGCAGTTTTTTGTCAACGAACCAGATGACCACCTCTATATGCTGAGAGAGCAATGTGAGCACCTTCAGTCTAACATTTAGCTCTGTAGCACCTGTGCACGATAAAGTCATATATAAATAAATAATTAAATAAATAACAGTAAATATTAATGATAAAAAAAATAACTAATTGAATATATGTGAGATGACCCAGTGATAGCTTAAATTAGTTTACAATCTCGCACAAACTGAAAACAATCGTCATCACGACAGTGATATTAAAATCTAAAGTAACCTCTATGTAATGAAACCGCACCACGGCTATGTGTTCGAGGCTTAATACTGCCAACAAAGCGCACCTCATGACCAGTGGCCCTGTAACCTCAGATTACTATAGAATGCTTCCCACACCGACAGGACACCACACAGATCCTGTCAGCTGGCTGGTGTCCTCTTCCATCTGGTATAGGAGCCAAACGAGGACAGCATTCGAAGGACCACAACTCTAAGAAGATTCGTTACGTGGAGTATTTATGACAGCGGCGACTACGGCAGTGTTACCTTGTGTCGTCATGAAGGTGTGACTGTCAAGCACCATGCGGTAGAGGTTTATCAAATGCTGCAGTCTGGACGAATGCTGGTAAAGACTGCGCACGGCCGGATCATCCAGCTGCACCCCTGACCAGTTGTAGAGCGGTACCACTGTGCCCGGAAAAAAATACGCCCGGCATCGCCACGATTATTACTTATTATTACGGAAGTCATATCCGATCACCTCTAGAAGCAAACGCAGGGTTTAATTTGGGGGTTAATTGGATCCGACTTTCCATCTGATTTGCCATGGAGGTTAAAATCCACAATTTGAATGCAGATATTTACTTTATTTTCACAAACAGGCATATGAACTAAGGTAGGATATACCGATTATCCTTACTATATCCTATTACTATCTCTGGCCAAGCCGGCCTCCAACGGTAACACCCACAGTCCTTTCATGTCCAGATAGCATTTTTGCACTCACTCATTCTTCAACCCATAGCATATGATGTTAATCTATCTAGTTAATTCTTCACTACACACCTAGTTTTTTTTAGCTAACCGCCCAGATAGACTGCATCTCACCAAATTCGCAACAGTGTACATACTCCGTTAAACACTTACCGAGTTTGTCGAAAGCTACCTTGGTCTCAATGACTTTACTCCACGCCCACTCAAATAAGAAGCGTAATGTGCATCCCGACTCAACACACTCTGCACAGAACAATCACAGACAGCAGATGGAATATCAATTTGTACATCTTTTCTTAGTCCCCCACGATGATGATGACAATAATAATAATAATAATAATAATAATCATCATAATCATAATTAATATATACTAGCATACCAACCATGGCTAGATGACTTACAATCAGAGGAAAACCTGTATTTATGCTCCCAGTCACCTGCATCAATTTATGATGAATAGCTTTGCCTTTTCCAACACAGGAAGATTAACAAGACTCGTTCTAGTGCATTTATTTTGGTGTGCACTAAACAGCAACACGCCTGACGCACTGACCACTAATCTCTAGCACCGACAATTACGCACCTCAGACATTTCTCTGACGCATGCTGCTAGAAACTCTAGCTTCGGAATCAAAATCAGTACCACTGTCAGTAACATCTCCGGCATGAAAGTCTGCAATTTCACGAGAGCACATGTAAGGAATTTTGAAAAGCATTTAATTCACGACCATATCGTAAAGTGATAGGGATGTGTAGAGTAAATAAAAGTTAACAATATTAGCATTTTTCTCTTATCCGATAATATAGACAGTTAAGAAAAATTCACATGTTGGGTATTCAGCTTGACTCTCATAATGTAGGTGTGACAAATGAAAAAATACAAATTATTGACACTACTTTTTTCAATGTTTCATTCATTCATGCGTGCACACATTTATGTATGCATCAGTCAGTTTATTTATTCATACATTAATCAGTTATTCAACATTTATTCATTCATTTCTTTTTCTTCATTACTACTCAACTTACATTTTCTGGTTATGGCCTTTAGAGCTAGTGTCACTATTTAAGCCTAGAATTAAATGATTATGAATGGTAGAACGCATGGTACCATAGGACTAGAACTGGAGACAGTCGCATGGTTTCTAGGGAGAAGGCCAGCGACCAGCCCACGGTCGTACATCTCATGAACAGTCTAATAGACACTCGGGTCCTTGGTTGACAAGATCTTGCCAACACCTGCCGCTGCAGGACCTAGGTAGCTGGCATAAGCGGCACCCGATCCATCAAGCAATGGAGATCTAGCATAGAAATATTGGTAAAGCTTACATAGCCAGTGCAAGTTTGTTTAGATGCACTAATGGAGCAAATGTGTACTCACGACAGTCTACTGTTAAAATAATGATTATTTGGTAAAAACTAATAAAAGTATTACTTGGTGATACTTTACAAATCTTTCATTATGCACATATTTGACTTGACTGAGTTTGCGGACTTCAAATTAGTGCTAAAGCTATTAAGAAAAAAGTGATATGATTGTGCATAAACCAGATGCTCCCTGTGCTGTATGTTGCAAGAAAGATCGCTTAGCCAAATGACAGGGATGATGGAAAGCAATGCTGGTCTTGTGGTGCCACAGCAATAAACGCTTGCCAGGCTGCTCGGTGGAATGTGTACATTCTATAGATGATAAAAAACAATCACCAGTTAAATGCAGATGAGATGAAATAAGATGAGCGTGAGCTTTGCAAGCAATCCTTGTGATGGTAGGCAACTCCATGAATCTCAATTATTTTACGGGCACGCTTTGACATTTGACGACATGGTATAGTAATAGTATGATGATGAAACACTGCAGCAGCATACTGTATAGAAAATCACAGTATAGATGCGATGTGACAACCCTCAGTTATTATTACATTCACTACTAAACAACAAAGTGCCGCGGAGCGACAGCGCTCATCTAACGTCTACTGCGGTGACTCGGTGTGGACAGTGGTGGGATCTAGTAAACTCTGTTAGTCCCAAATGTGTTCACATACATGCCGAAACAGTGGAATGCACAGGGATGGTATCAGGAACCTTCTCAAAGGAATGTTCGTTTGGATTGTTATGAAGTTGCCACGAGATGGCGCGTACGTTTAAGTGTCTTCAGATTAAAGATGGAAGCTCCCATCGTACGTAGTAGCAACAACTATTTGCAAGACAGAATAGGTAAGCACTCATCCATTTACCTAGGCAAAGCCTACAGGCTGCAATAGAGAGGCTGCCACCTGTAACCAATTAACGCAAGCAAAACTACAAGTAACCACCACCACATGCACTGGCAGTAGCATACTTACATGTAACATACTGACAGTAACAGAATGCATAGAAATTATACGATTTAAGGAGCATAAACCTTCTTCAACCAAAATTTAGCTTTTGAAATTTCAACTGTGACATTGTAGCCTCATACATCCAGGCATGTATAGATTCTACTAGCAACCCCGCAGTCAATTCTTTCTAACAGACAGTAAACAAATCCGATGTTTAACCCTCCTCTTGAGGGTCAAAAGGTTATCCGACACTTACCTTCGCATGTCAGCAGGAAGTAGATTTCATGGTCCTTTCAATAAAGCCATAAAAATACTAGGTCACCGCTAAAACAAAAAGGTTTTTCAATCGCTCCGTCAGACTATGTGCTCAGAAAATGTCTAAAATCTGCCCTGTGCCCATTGACCTTTGACCTGTCACCTCCAATTTCGGCACAGTGATGGCTTTTCCATGATGCTATACACCGACTATCACGAGCCTAGGTCGAGCCGTTTAGATTTGTGCCGCAATTCTGCATTTCCTCCCTATACCTTAAGTTAAGGAGGGAATGTTCCCCCTTCTTTTACAGCTCTTGACCTTTGACCTTTGACTCCCAGCTTCGACATCCTAACTCGTTTTGACGATCCCCCCCGACGTCCCGAATATCGTGACCGTACGTCGAGCGGTTAAGATTTGAGCCCAACTGTTGACGCACGGACGGACGGCCGGACGGACGGACGCATGGACGGACGGACGGACGGACAATCGTGCGATTCTACAAGCTGCATCTGACTTCGTCATCAGATGAGCTGAAAACTGAGGAGAAAGTTCATGGTTTTACGATGACAAGTATATTCCTTGACAAAAAACAACAACCAACCTACGAGCGTCAACAGAAATATATCCGCTTACCAGCATGACTTCAGACGACACATCATCCACGGCTGATGAAATGGAGAAGAAAGCAAAATAGCTGCAGTCACTGCTGCCAGGCCTAGCAAAAATTGATGTACGTTTTCATCACTGGCATGCCGTACAATGTAACAACAATCACGCACGACTACAACCACGCCATGTAGACTGCCACGGGAGGCCAGAAGCTCTTACGATGCTTTCTTATTTGGATAAGAATCGCCGTCGATTGACACTCTAGACTCAACTCTCTACAACCAAACATATGTTAGCAGTCACTTCTATAAAACGAACATATCTCTATAAAGACAACTTTTGCTGTTCTCATCGTCAATTATACTTTAAAATCACATATATATATATATATATATATATGTGTGTGTGATTTCACCGCCGATCGTGCGCTGCATATACATCCTAGATTTTGCGATGCGACGGCGGCGACGATGAGATGCGTGCCTACCTGAGACTGGTTGGCATCTGTGCGTGGTACCAGCGATTCATGTCGAATATACCGAGTACAAACTGAGACTGAGACGTCGGATGCGACGGCTGCGTCTCCCAGACGAACGCGCACAGACTCAGGTCATTGCTGTGCCGATCTGCAGTAGGTTGCCATGACAACAGCTGCATTACTCATCCAAATATCCATCTGTATCTAGCAAGCCATCTATATATATATATATATATATGGTTTGATAGATAATAATGGGATTTTTCAGAAGCAATCATTTATGGCCGACTTTGCTAAAATGTCGCAGTGAACAAACGCACAGAAATACTGTTCTTTGCAGAATATAAGTACACTCATTTTTACGTGATAGCGATTCCATCCAGCACGTACCTTCCTCCTCACTGCTGCTATCCTCTCCCATCTGCTCGTCATCACCCAGACCTCTGAGGGCTGCCTGCCTATCAGCTCCGATCGTAGCACAAGATATGAGCCGGCTGCCGTAGAACGTATCCTCTAACTGATTGTATGGGTCTTCCGTCAAGTTAAACTCGTAGCGTGGGCCGCATGACTGAAACTCCTATAAATTACGACATGTCACTTGTAAGTGAGACACATTCATGGGTGTTAACCAAAAAAATTGGGGACTGAAAAAAAATTGGGTCCGGTGCGGGGCTGTGGATTCTCTGCGATATAAAACACATTTGGCGACACTTTCTGATAAGATAAAACATTATTATACAAGATTATATAACAAGCATACATAGTTGAGATCACTAGATGCAAGTGACTTTAAAAAAAATTGTCAACAAAAATTAATTGAAAAATGAAAAAAAAAATCTCAAGATGGAAATCTGTCTACCGACGGACAGTTAACACCCATGCACATTCAACTACATAGTGACACACATCCTTACTAGTACGATGATTAATGACAACAATAACTGACACGCAGTCTGCTATTGTTTATGGATCATATCGTGCTTGTACCTCGTAAAAGTAGAAACCAGATTCGTGTAACCAACACTTCTTGGAGAAAGCCAACTGGTATAACCACAGCGACGCTGGTATGTGGATACTGCAAATCATATAACACGACTGATTAGCACACATAGAATGCACACACGCAGGCACGCACACAAGCACACAGTTGCTGCACGCGAAAGCAAATGAACTATATAAGATCACACCTGCTGGGTGGTCTAGAGATGAATTCCACTCAAGTTTTACTCAAAAGACTACACATGATATACTGTATTTTTCCGTAAAATAAATACAAACTTCATGCTTGACTCTAACAATTTTCCAATACCTATTTTCCAGTGACAGTGGGCCACTAGCCACCCAAAGGTAATTGTAATTTCTTGGATCGTTTTCCGGTTCTTGATATGCTACTTTAGTAATGGGTGAAAGGTCACATTCAAATTGACTGCTATATCTGAAAAAATGCACACTAAATTACTCGAAATCATCTTTACTTCAGGGGTTCGATCTCATCTTTTCCACCGAATTCATTATTGATCTGTAATTGTTCATAATAACACACATCTGCAGCACGTTTGTCCATGGAAAATTAAGCACTCTCTTAAGAGATTCCTTTCACTCACAGAAAAAATTTAGATTAATGTGCCACAGAGGACAAAATTGTGATAGCTTACTCGAGGTTTGGGCCGCTGAGACTCCAGAGCTGGAAGCAGCCAAAGTTGAAACCCACTGCAAGCATTCCGATCTCTTTCACGTACTTGGCACACGTAACCCAGACTGCATCTGCACAGAAGACAGTACGTTGTGAAGGAAAGTCTAGATCTGAATTTGCCGCAACAAAACGTAGATTTTCATCGTGGCGAATTTCGCATGAAGTACTTTTAAAATAGGACAATGTTTCACAATTTTGTGGTTGTACAATTTTGGTAGCACTACAGGGTTAGACACTAACCATTTTAGTTCATTAGTCCACAGGACTATTAAACGAAAAAATGTACTAGTCCTTCCAAGATTCTACTAGTCCTGCCGAAGGACTCTTACTAGGCGCAGAGCGACGAGCATTGTTATTTGCCAGGAGGTAGGTGGGGTAGGAGGGTGGAGCCCCTCTTCTGCTAGGTGGTACAGGGGGTCTCTCCCAGGGTACAAGTGTTGTCCCCCAGAAAGGTTTTGTAAAAGACATGCAATTGTATAAAATACATGTAACTTTGATATGGATCATAAAATTAAAACTTAAATTAAATAAAATTTTAATTCGAAAATAAAATTTCGGCCTCCTTTGATGAGGAATCTGTGGATCCGTCACTTATCACAGCAAGGAATTTGGCCTCATTTATAGCTACAAACTGTTCCCGGCGCCTTGTATCGGCTATCGCCGTAATGAACCTCTGGCAGGCCTTGTCGGTAAGGTAAGTGCTGCCGACATCTAAACCCTTGGCCTTGTCAAGCTAGCACAGCTTGACGTCATCGGTGTAGGGCCTGCCGTTTTTTCCAATAGCATGTGCATTTCTAATGGGGTTCGCCATTTACTAATCGCTGGATAGATGGCGCGCGTGCACTGTCCGGTATCACTGCTAAACAATGGCGTCTAGTTACGAAGGGAAAACCGTAAATGGAGAAAACCGTAAATCAGAGTCGCAAAGTAGAGGTGAAAAAACATCTGGGAGGAAAGCTGATCTGCACGTACACGTACACGTACGTTTGCGTGCGTGTGCACGTACACGTGGGTGCGTGCGTGTGTGTACGTGCGTGTGCACGTACACGTGCCTGCGTGCGTGTGCATGTACACGTGCGTGCGTACGAGGGCCTGTACACGTGTGTGCGTGGGTGCGTGTGCACGTACACGTGCGCGCGTGCGTGGGCACGTACACGTGCGTGCGTGCGTGCGTGGGTGCGTGTGCACGTACACGTCCGTGCGTGTGTGCGCGCGTGTGCACGTACACGTGTGTGCGTGCGTGTGCAAACGCACGCATCCTTTTCGTCTTATCATAGACACGCTGGCCATCTAATTTCTCCTCCTGCGATTTACGTTTGGGAGGTGGAGGGCGAGCGCCGTCCAAATACTTCCACATAACAACCTTGATGTTAGTATTATACTATTGGATAAGGATGTACCTACTATTAGCTTCACTACTATTTGTATGGACTGCTTCAAGTAACACACGCATGCGATGTGGTTGCGATGTAAATACCTCCCTATGAGAGCCTATAACTGATTAGTTGCGTCATTTCTACAATCAGACCGTTTGTTCTATGTCAACAGCTACTGTCAAGCTTGGTAGACAGGGTTCGTGACCCCATTGTTTAACAATGTTTGTACTGCCGTAGGGTCTAGCAGCATGCTTAGAGCGTGCTAGCGTCTACTCTACTTGGACTAGCGCTTCTAACAGGGAAAACTTGTTAATGGGGACGAGTTATATATAGCTCTTTGGATCTTGGATGAGAGACGCTGCCGCCGGTAAAATCGATGGGAAATTGGGACGGTGAGGGACAGGGAAAATATAACTAGTCCCGCCGGACTAACTGCTATGGGAATCTACTAGTCCTTCTGATTTTTTACTAGTCTCGGACTAACGTTAGTGTCGAACCCTGCACTATATTTTTCCAGTCACTAAACATGTACCTGCTGTCAATGTTTCCATGATGCTGCTATCTGGCTTTCTATACTGAAACTTTCCTTTTCTGTGACTGTCATCTATAACAGAATACCACACCTGTGTTACATTCATCACTATAATATATTTACACATGCATGTATACCAAAAGAGCTCAAACTTAACAGAATCCCCCCTACTATTACTTTGATTTAATCAGAGAAATTACATAACATTCGTCATCGACGATTCGAACATCTTTTATGCGAAAAATACGAAACTTCAGAGAAACATGTACACTGCATTATTTTAAGACTGATACTAGATAACATCACAGTCTATCATTATAACGTCACTGAGCAAGTGAAATCACTTAAGGAACACCTCCTGCGACGCTAACGTGAACTTTGCAACCAACAGGCGACAGCTACGCCTTCCACGTGACACTGAACTACCCCCTCACCTCCGACCTCCAGGCACAGGTGTTGTCTGCGATGCAGCGCATCGTCCCTGCACTGCTGCACGTTGGGCGTGCGCGCCGTGATGAGGCGCATCGAGCTGCTGCTGACCTCGTCCGACACGTACGTGCGCTCGTCGCAGCACAGGTCGAGCAGGTAGACGTGTCCGCGGCGCGTGCCGACAGCGACGACGCCGTGGAACCACTGCAGGTGCTCGCTCAGCGTGTCGTCAGCCGCATCAGCACCACACACGGGCTCAACACACGTCACCTGCGCACGGACGACGTAAACAGGGATAAACATAAATAATATAACATATATAACATGTATATAATACAACTTATACGAGTATATAAGGCTCTCCCCGGGAATTTCAGAAGGTATGTTGTTTATGAACGAATGGGAGAGGGAGTGGGAGAGGGTTGTGACAGTTGGGAGTAAATTGTAGCTGCATATGTCACAGTATAAAGTGCAACGAACAGATGGCTCATTTTATAACCGATTGCGGTTTCGGTGACCTACCGGATCTTTAACAGCAATGGCCTTCCGCACTGTTGACGTGACGGGGTCGAATAGGCACAGCATTCCAGCACGCCCACTCATGTCCAGGCCTACCAGGAGTATTGAGCAATGTGCCGTCACCTGGTAATCTGAGACGCACGTCACAGCAACGCCATCATCATTTAAGATTGTACCGAATTGCCATGCTGCCTGCCTCAAACCTGAGACTGTATCGATGACCTCTAGTGAACCACCTCTTGCCACCCAAGCAAGCCCTCCATCTAGGTAAGGAAAAATCAGTCAGGTTCCACGCTCCCATGCCCGCACCACGACGTAAATGGCTCAATAACAATAAATGACTACTAGAAATAGATAAATAGATATAAATCATCTAAAAATGGGATGTGTCTACATTCATGCGTAAGTGTACCATCAGACATGCTTCATGAAATAAATACCTACTGAGAAGATAATACATAACATGCCGGCTTTTTTAGATTAGTACAGTAGAAGTAGAAAATTCCGGATGCCAGAAATCTGAACCACCCGAGAATCTGGACTTTTCGAAAACTCAAACTTTTTAATAATCTAAAAATATATAATCAATTTGTATAAAATAACTTCTGCTTTCATTTGTTTACTATATTTTTCTTTTACAATGTTCATTTTTAAACATGGTTTCAAGCATTACATGCTCTTTTTTGGTAGTGAAAAATATTTATGTTTACAATTTTGTCAAGTGTTGCCTTTATTTTTCTTTACAACTGCTCGTTTTGATAAATGAAGCATGCCGTATTTGCTAATGAATTAACTATCACAATTTTCCTGTTCATTTCTTTTTTATTCCTCCTTAAATTTGAATTTTAAAAGTACTGCCCGAGAATCCGGACTGACCCAATCCCCGAGCACTCCAGATTTTTGGACTTCTACTGTACTAATACACACAACTGCTAAGTTTGACATCAGTAACAATACTGGCTGATGTTAAAACTGCTTATTCCATTACCTTCAAACAAACCACCAAGTAAAGCTGCATCTTGCTTTGGGAGCTGTGCACTGATGCAATCGGCTGTCGCTTCACAAAATGGCACAAACTTGGATGTGAAGTTTGGAAGTAACTCGCCTCTCATTGTTGTTTGTGTACGCTGAGATAAAAGATAACATGTGCTTTCAAAATAGCTGGAAGTCTTGAGATAAAAATATTTGGTATCATGGTGCGGCGTGCTAATGGAAGCGTGCGAGCTTGGCACTCGCCCGCTCGCCAATGTCGAGTGAAAATAATATCAGGCGAGTCAAAGCTAAAACTGACTCGCCCATGTTGGCGAGTAAAAATAATTGCCTAAAGCTTTAATCAAATAATGGCTCCTTACGTTTTTTTATTCAAACATTGGTTTGGTGAAAAACAGTTCTAGCAATGTTATCACGCCACATCCATTGTGTACATGCCGTGGTCGATGTCTACCATGCTCTGATTGAGCAGTCGCGATTCAGCTTAGCCAATCACGTATGGTATTATATAATACCAATTCGCAAGCTGGCGCATCGATCGCACATGTATGCGGCGTGAGTAGGATAGCGACGGGCTGCCGCCGCAGGGCTCAACTTTAACGGTGGCCCGGGTGCCCATGGCCACCTGAAACGGCGTCGGGCCACCTGAAACTGTCGGGTTGGTGGCCCGCCTGGCCACCAATAAAAATAAGGCTGTGGCTACGCGACCGGTTCCGGACGAGGAGCCGCTAGGCTACGCGTCCGGTCATCCATCTCACACAGAGATCTTGCGACACATACACGCATGATTGCGCAAGGAGATGCTCTGCTGATTGCCGAGTGTCAAAGTGTGTGTGTACGTGTGTCACAGTGTGTGTGTGTGTGTGTGTGTGACGTGTGACGTGCTTGTGCGCCCGTGCCCGTTATCTTTATATAGGGGGTGTGATCCACAAAAATTAATCTATGGTGTGGGGGCAGATATCATGATGCAAAAACTCTAACCCTAACCCTAACACACACTATTTTTAAAAAAATATAAAAAATATAATTTTTAATTGTTGTAAACATTAATTGTTGTTATTAAAATGTTGTAAATAAATCATGTAAATATTTGCATTAAGTGGAAAAAAAAAGTTAAACAGATAAAGATAAAAAAATACAGAAAACAGGAAAATAATTAGAAAACGAATGGGATTCGATCCACCGACCTTTCATAATTGACGCTCGCGCTGTACTCGCTAGGCTATCGAGTCATATCGGAATTAAACATTTTGGATGTGCTATGTATATGACGACACTGTGACGTCATTGAGCGACGAAACAAGCTCAACCAATAGCAGCGCTCACTACAGCCCTATGTTCTTGATTGACCTAGGAAAAAAAATCACGCTGCCCGCGTCCGTGCGTGTGTGTACGTGTGGTTTACTGGAAGCAGATTCTGAGAATGTGAATCGCAACAAGAAACAATGCTTTACTTGGCATAAATCAAAACAGTAGTGCACGCGTGCAATCCATTCGCTACCCATCAGCTGTGTGGGTTCGTTGCGCAATTCATTTCTCCACGAGTTCAAGACAAGTGCGTACATACCAGAGTGTACATGTATGTATAGAGAGGGGTGTAGGGATGATACACTGTAGCGACAGGGAGGGTGTAGGGCAGGGGTGGGCAAACTACGGCCCGCGGGCCGCATGCGGCCCTCTACGGGGTTCTGTGCGGCCCGCGGAAGCCTACAGCAAATAAAAAAATAAAAAAAATAAAATAAAAACAATAGATTTTTGTGAAAGTCAACATGTTTGTGCTTGAACCGAGGCTGACTTTTTCAGTGTCATACAGATTACTGTTCTATTGTCTCTGGTTCGCTCTGCAACGCCATTTCAGCTAATTATGGTCCAGAAATGTGGCAAAACGCACGATTTTAAAAGGTGCGGCCCTTCGACTTTTCATGGCCCACTGATGCGGCCCTCGCTTTGAAAAGTTTGCCCACCCCTGGTGTAGGGTGTAGGGATGATACACTGTAGAGACAGAGAGGGTGTAGGGGGAGGGGTGTAGGGATGATACACTGTAGAGACAGAGAGGGTGTAGGGGGGAGGGGTGTAGGAATGATACACTGTAGAGACAGAGAGGGTGTAGGGGGAGGGGTGTAGGGATGATACACTGTAGAGACAGAGAGGGTGTAGGGGGGAGTGGTGTAGAAATGATACACTGTAGAGACAGAGAGGGTGTAGTGTGAGGGGTGTAGGGATGATACACTGTAGAGACAGGGAGGGGTGCAGGAATGATACACTGTAGAGACAGAAAGGGTGTAGCGGGAGGGGTGTAGGGATGATACACTGTAAAGACAGAGAGGGTGTAGGGGGGAGTGGTGTAGGAATGATACACTGTAGAGACAGAGAGGGTGTAGTGTGAGGGGTGTAGGGATGATACACTGTAGAGACAAGGAGGGGTGCA